CAGAAGACCTTAGAATACCGCAGACAGGGTTATTTACACTTCATCTCTGTATATGCTTCCTTGATTGCATAAATCTAGCAGTACGGCTCCCTCTGGGGTAAGTAATGGGTGAATTCGTGTTTTTCGTTTGAAGAAAAGAAGCCAGCATAAACTGTATAATCAGAACTAAAGCTATTCTGGGTTTTTCAAATTTTAATTTTAATTAATTAATTTATTTTTGGTTCTTTGAGAATGGGTCTCACTATATAGCTCAGGTTATACTTGAACTTACTATGTAGCCCAGGCTGACCTTGAACTCACAGGGATTCTCCCACCTCAGCCTCCACGTGATGGGATTACAGGTGTGCACCACCACTCCCAGCTGGTATTATGGCTCAGCAACAGGAAAACAATAATAAAAAATAGACAAAGTAGGAAAGCATGGTGACCGCCCTGATCAACACACAGTAGGTGCTCAAGTAAATGAGGGTCTGCTCCTGGGGCTGTGTGATGTCATCACCAGCTGGTGGCTTTGCCATTTATTCAAACCCTGTCTCCCACCGAGGGGCCACAGGTTCAGGTTTGATGTAATTCAGCTAAATTAAAAGGAAAGTATATAGCAAAGGAAGTCCTATCCACAGACAAAAAAAGACCAACAAAAAGCTCAACTGTACAAGTCTATAAAGTCTGTATTACAGCATGCTGGTCTGAAGCAGTAAATAGGAAACACGTGAAGCTGCCCCCCATGGACCCGAAGATCTAGGTCTTCACGTAGGGACAGGAAGTGTAGCCATTGCTGTTGGGCACCTGGGGTCCGAAGGTCTCGGGGTGCCACACCAGGGGGCAGGTGGGCACTGCCAGCTGCCCGGCCACCAGTGCAGCCTGGAGCCTCGAAGCACCGGCATCAGAAAGGAGCTTACCCGCCTCCGACCTCGTCCCGTCCCACAAGGCAAATGTCAAACAGATGTCCTTGAGGAGTGGAAAAACGAAATGAAAAGCACATTTAGGATTTATAGAGCTGAAAACCAAAAACCAGTGGAAATTAGTACTCGGAGGCACTGCTCAGCCTGCCGGTCATGCGGGCTGTGTTTTTCCTTTGCACCATCCCATTGGCAAATTCGCTCCCAGGTCCCTGAGCAGGCATCAGCGTGCGTGGCCCAAGTTTGATAAGGGAATGGAGCTTAGCAAGGCATAGCAGCCCTGCAGCGCTGGACAGCGACCCAGCGGTCAAGCCTTGGCCTCCTGCTCCGCATGATGACATTCCCATCCCACCCCCACCCAATGTCCCCATCCCCCATCCCAACATGCCCATCCTCATGCTGAGATCCCCTCCCCCAGCCCCACCCCAACATCCCCATCCCCCCCGACATCCCATCCCCATCCCCTGCCTTGACCTCCCCATCCCCACGCTGGCCTTCGGGTCCTGCGTGCTGGCTTCCCCGCATCCTGGTTCCCTGTATGCTGACGGCACTTGGCTGCCTGTCTGCTTCCTCCCTGCAATGCTGTGATTTTTCTCCAAAATGCTCTCAAAGGCCCTGAAAACTTCTCAACCTCTGAGATGAGGGGAGAGTCCCTGCCTCCTGCTGGCTCCCCACCACAGGCCCCTCTTGGCACTGGCCGCAGCGCGGTGATGACTCCATTGCTCTGCTGCACTGGCCGGGCCCTTCGGAGGAGGCACTGTGCCGCCCTGTTGGCTCTGGCGGGGAGGCCCAGGCCGGTGAGGTGGACCTCGCGGCCTGACGGGCCCTCCTCTAAAGGCCCCTCGTTCCCTCACCCCACAAGGTACCATCATGGGCCCTTTGGGGGGCAGAGATGGAACCATCCGGGAGGGGACCTGGATCTGTGTACCACCTCCGGCCCAGCACCTAGCAGACATTACCTCACGTTGCAGATCTCCAACTTTACAGACGTGGAACGGGGTGCAGAGAGGGGAAACCCTTTGCCTGAGGTTGCGAGTTTTTTTCGGGAGCCAGGTACCTGGGGTTGGGGTGGAGGCAGGTGACAAGGCCCTGGCCAGGTGTGGGGAGCAGAAGAGAAGGGTGCAGGGGTGCGAGGCGTCTGGCCAAGTGTCCCTCTGTCACCTGGACCTTCAGTTGATGAGATATCCCTGATCTCCCCCTTCCAGACGAGGACCCAAGCGACGCCAGGTTCCCAACAGGTTTGAAGCGGGTGCCCCTAAGCTCATCCCGCCCTGTGCTTCCCGCTGTGCCGCGGCTGTGATCTCTTCTGGCTGGACGTCTCTGGCCGGGGACAAGCTGGAGTCGCTGCCGGCCTGACGTCACCCACGTCCTGTCAGAGCCACAGAGCTCATGCGGCCAGGACACCCGCACTGTGCACTTAAGAGTGCTGCGTGACAGGGCAGCTGTGCAAACCGGGTCACCACGCACAGCGACTCAGTGAGCGGGCCTGGCACTGCTCGGGCGGGAGGTGGCTGTGTGGCACCCTCCACGCGCGAGGGCAGAGCCCGGCTCATCCAAACCACCCTGCGGCAGCACGGTGGCGGCTGGTGCATCAGGAGAGCCTGCACCCTCCCGGACAGGGCAGGAGCAGGAGGGCGCCCAAGGTTGCCGCAGGAAGCGGCCACCCGCCGAGGGGACAGGAGGCAGGACTGAGGGTGGGATCGCCCACGGGAGCTGGAGGGGCCTGCGGAGCTGGGGGCCAGACCTCTGGGCTGCTCTCCGTCCTTCTGCCCAAGGGTACCAAGTGCACAGTACTTTAACAGTCTCATCCTTTGTCCCCTCTAGAGTGTGAGCTGCAAGGGTGAGGATTTTCATTGGCTCCTGGTTGTGCATAGTAGGTATCTGGAGGACTGCACAGCACAGAGGAGCTTCTGATTGGAATCAACTACCCTTCCTCCATTCCTCCTCCCTCCCTCCCTTCCTCCTCCCTCCTCTCTCCCTCCTT